AAAAAAAAAAAAAAAAAAAACTAGTCTTCTATTGCGGAATAATGACACATTTAAAAAAAAAAAATTGAAATCCACTTGGGACAACAACATTGAAAGGATAATAAAAAAAAAGCTAGTCTCTCATTGAGAGATAGCAACACTAATTATACAAAATAAAAATAAAAATAATTGATCCCCCATCCAAGGATAGCAACATTAAAAGAACAATAAAAAATTAAAAAGTTAATCCCTATTATATATATATATATATATATATATAACGTGATATGAACTTTTAATCTAACAGTTAGATTTACAAAATTCACATTTAATATAAAGTTATTGAGTGATGTAATACTTAGTAAAAGTTACACCGATATTATTATAACCCTATATATATATATATATATATATAAACACATGTGTGTGTGCGCTAATCTCCTACTTGGGAGCACTACTGAATATTTGGAATCTATTATAGTGAAAGTAGAAGAACAAAATGAAGGTGATGATAAAGGTAATAGGTGTGAAGTTGATGAATCAAATAAGGATACAAGTGATGAATTAGATTACTATAGAGTACTAAAGACAATTTGTACAAGTCACCTCCACCTGAGTATGAAAATGATACTAGTTCAAATGTTGACATGGAAAATCAAGGTGGTAATGGTGGGACATCAAAATCAAAAGGTGAAAATTCTTGTGCTAAAACTTCTTATACTTCTTTTATAAGACATGGTAGAGACATAAATAAAATTAATAACAAATTTTTAAAACAATCTAAAAATGGTTTTTCATTGAAGATGTGCCATGTAGTAAGGACTAATGTTGATGAAAGGACTAAATCACCAAATTATCATTTAGAAGAACTGAAAACACATGTTAGCATAAATGATGAAGGTGTCCAAAGTGATAAACCCACATTCCCAAAATTTATAGAAGGGTCACAATTTGAGATAGTTCACTTGAAAATTGGTATGGAATTTGACAAGTTGAGAACATTTAAACAAATTGTTAAGAATTTCACTATATACCATGGGAGGCAAATCAAATAAGTGAAAAATTATAAAGTCAAGGCAAGAGAAAAATGTTTTGTGAAAGATTGTGAATGAAATATTTTTTGTGAATGGAGTGAGATGAACAAAAGTTTTTAGTTGAAAATATTTGTACAAGATCATTTATGTTACAAGGTGTTTCTAAACAAGAAAGATGATAAGAAATTGGGCTAAACGACCATTGTGGGGCAGTTTTAGAAACTTATTACCAAAATGGGGCTGTTTTGAAACATTTAACACCTTTGGGGCTATTTTCTTGGGTGTCGCTATGAGCCATAGCGACACCCATGACACGTGGCAATTCTAGGTCTGATTATAAGCCATGAAAGCCATATTAGTAGAGTCATTGTAGCTGGTGGAGTCTCAAAACAAGGTGCTATAGGCTACAGCGACTCAATCCGGCTAAAAAAAAATAAATTTTGTTAAAAAATAATAACTAAAATAAGTATTGAAAAATATAAAAATGGGGCGCTATGGCCCATGCCTCCACTGGGGCGCTATGACCCATAGCGCCAGTTTAAAAAATATATGTATTATTTTATAAATATAATATTTGTTTAAAAATAAAAAAAAATGTCAGATAAAAGTGAAAAAGGGAATTAAAATAAGAAAAAATAAAATTTTTAAAAATTTAGTTATACAATATGAAAATAATTTAAAAAGGAAAAGAAAAAAAAAATTGGGGCGCTATGGCCCATAGCGCCTCTGGTGGCATTATTACGTACAGTACTTTCATTTAATCTAATTTTCTGGTTGTAACAGTGATGTAAACGATGATAAGTAAAACTCTATTATATAATTAAATTACTTTTATATAAGAATGAAATTGGAAGTAAGCATTTCGTATAAGAAAAGAAGATACATTTGAAGTTAAAAAAAAACGTGCAGTGTGGAACACGGAGCAGAGACGGAATCATGGAATATTTCCTTTCCTCACGAGGCGCTATGGCCTATAGCGCCAAAAATTCGCTATAGGCCATAGCGACCTGTCTTCTGTTTTTTTTTTTCATTTCTTTTCAAATTTTATATTATTAATTTATTTAAAATATTAATTTTATATTTCTGTTATTATAAAAATTTATTTAATTTCAATAAATTATTTATTTTCTTTTCTTTTATTCTTATTTATATTATTAAATTTTTTCAATTTTTTTTAAATTTATGTTTTATTCCATTTTATTTTTAAATATTTTTTTTCCTTTTATGTATTTCATGTTTCCACTTTTTAATGTATTTAGAAATTTATAAAAAAAATAACGGATAAAAAGGAAAAAAACATTGAAATAAGAAAAAAATGTAAATTTTAAAAAATAAGTAATATAATATAAAAAATAATTTAAAAACGAAAAAAAAAATATTGGGGAGCTATGGCCCATAGCTCCACTCAGGCGCTATGTCTCATAGTGCCAGTTATAAAAACATATCTAATATTTTTTCAAATATAATTTTTTTTACAAATTTATAAAAAAATAACGGGTAAAAGGAAAAAAAAGGATTGAAATAAGAAAAATATTAATTTTAAAAAATAAGTAATAAAATGTAAAAAAGAATTTAAAAACGAAAAAAAAAATTTAAATTGGGGCGCTATGGCCCATAGCTCCACTCAGGCGCTATGGGCCACAGCGCCTTTGTTAAAAAAATACATTTTTTTTATTTTAAAATTACGTTTTTTAAAAATTTAATTTTTTATTTATAATTATATAATAAATAGTTCAGTTTATTATATTTATTTTACATTATTATTATTTTTTTTTCTTTACCCAGTGTCGCTATGGGCTACATAATTGTTTTAAGCCCATCAGCTGTGGTGGGCCAGCCTATAGCGACACTGGTCCAGCCCAACCAAGCAAAAAAAAAAAAAGTTACGTGTCATGGGTGTCGCTATGACCCATAGCGACACCCAATAAAAGAGCTCCAAAGGTGTTAAATGTTTCAAAACAGCCCCATTTTGATAATAAGTTTCTAAAACTGCCCCACAATGGTCGTTTAGCCTAAGAAATTGACTATTGAGAAGATAAGGGAAATTGAAGATACACTCATCTTTAATAACTTATGAGGTGTTCGATTATTTGAAAATAAAATTTGGAGTTTATGTTGATGATAATAACAAAACAACCGAAGAGGTGATACCTAGTGTGTTACATATATTGTGTTATGCACTTGTGAAGGAAATTGACAAAACAATGAAGTATACTACCTAGCCAAGTGGCCCATAAGGTCATGAACCAAGGCATATTTCAATAACTGGCCCAAGGTGGATAACATATGCAACATACATGTGAAGTGTTTAATGCCAATATTGTCAAATATATGGGTAACATATTCTAACTTATGCAAAGGAAGTTAGATGCTATATCTTGAAGGCTGTGAATAAAAATAAATTGAAATTGATAGGTTGGTTAGGTCCTTTGACTCTAATACGACTAGGGAAGGGTAGACGGACCCGGGTCCGCAAGTCTGCGGATTTCGCGGATAACGGACCCGTTTTTTTCAAATTCGTATGACTATGTCTAATTTTTGAGCCCGGCCCGTGAAGTTCGCGGACTTAACGGATTTAATTCGCGGGCTCGCGGGCTAGTCCGCGGACTTCACTAATTAATATTTTTAAATATTATGATTTTAATATTAAGTTGTGTATTTAATTTTTTAAATTATTATGACATTAAAATTATGTTTAGTTGGTAGGTATTTGTCATTTGAATTACTTTTATGACATTTTGATGCTTTTATTATTGAAAGTTTGGTACTATTATTTAAGTATTTGTAATTATTTTTATTTTAATATTTTAATATTTAGTATTTTAAACCATTTTAACTATTGATAAATTTTAGTATGATAAAATTTAGCTTATAAATAAAAAATATTTTTTTTCTTCTAATTTTATGTATTTTTATTTTTTAAAAATTTAATTTTTTGAACCATTATTTCGGCCCGCGGACCGGTCTGTTATCCGCGGATTTTGGCGGGCCGGATACGGACTTAAAAAATAAGTCCACTTATTTTACGGACCGGACTTATCCGGCCCGTATAAAACGCAGGTTTTACGGACCGGGCCTTAAACGGGCCGGACCGGTCCGTATACCCATCCCTAAATACGACAAAGTAGGTTGAAGAAGGAAAAAATTAAGAACATCTAGACTCAAGAATGAAAAACCAGAGAACTAATGTGATGGTTGGCTAACAATGAGTTCATATAATGCAAAATAAATATTTTATTCAGCCAAAACGTGAAGTTGATTATTGACAGAGGATTGGGTATCAAAACCCCACTCCACCACATGTTAAAAAATCCCCTAGAAGACCTAAGAAATAATGGGAAAAAGTTGGGAATGAAACAATAGTTAACAATAACAAGCTCAAGAGTTCATACACACTAGTGAAATGCTCTATGAAGTTCATGGACATAACATTAAGAGATGCAAATATGACGAGACAATTCCAATGCTAAAAAATTAAAAGTCACACTAAAAAATTAAAAGCCACCACCTAAAGAAGAAGATGATACTATTCTAGGCCAACCAACAAATGTAGATACACCCTATGATGCATAGACAAGGCGTGAAACTAGAGTCTCAGTGTCCGACACTTTTATGAAGCAAGCATGTCATTGACAGAGTGGCGGACTGCATCCTCACAAACCATACATGTCTCCATCTCGAACCCCTATAAAATGACACCTTTCCATCTCAACCCACACAACTCACCTCTCCAATCAGCAGATTTGAGATTTTTTTTAAAAAGAAATTTTTCAATAAAAATAAAAACAAAAAAGGGGGCTTCGAGAATTTTTTCTTGAAAAAAATCCTAATAAAAACATAAAGAAGAAAGAGATTGATTCTTATCTTTTTCTTATTTAACCTTCACATAATAGAATCAAAATTGTAAAATCGAAAATAATTTAAAGATATTTTATTATAGATTATGGTGTCTCTGAATAATTTATTTTTAAAATTTAGTAAGTTATTATCATATTAATATATAATTTTTTTGTTATATTATTCATATTATATATTATATATGTTGTATTTATGTGTCGTATATTCTTTAATTTTTCAATATTTGGATATTCATGTTATGTCCCGTGTCTTATCCGATTCCGTAATTAATAGGTTACACCTACTAATTCAAACCAACCACCAATAACACACAACCTACTTCTCCAAACCAATCACCATTAGCAACAACTATTCTAGATCAGCAATAACTATAAGCTAGATATGATTGAATATCCCATATTATATTGAAATAATGATCTGATAATTTTACCCATGAAGTTAAAGGCTTGCCAATGAATGTAGTAGCTACTGCATATTTGAACCTCTTTTAAATTACAATTCATGTAATTTTTGGAGATCATGTATGGTTAATTTGCATATGTACTTTTTGTGTGTGCAATGCAATCAAAATCATGTGTTACTTCAAATTTTAAATGCATCACAATCACATGGTATCATGGGTACTGTAATTTAGTGATATCACATTTTGGAACTTTTTCTTCTGTATATCATTAACATAATATAATGACTATTTTGAAAGTTCATTATTATTCTCCATTTGTGGGTTCCTTTTACTGCACCGTATTTTTTACTTAATCAAAACAAAAACATGATTGTTTAACTTCAATTACATATTTATCATTAATAAAAAAATGAAGAAATAAAGTAATGAACAACAAAAATTGGTTAACTCAAAAGAGATCAATGAAGAAAAAATTTCAATTAATCGAAAAATCATTACACGAGTCATAATCTCCATTACAAGACAGAAGGGGAAAAAAGACCAAAGAACCAAGGCTATGATGCATTATGACTCCCTACCATAACACCATGAAAACTAATACTAATACTAATACTAATGCAAACAGAACAATTGCAAATTGCTTCGACATTTTAATCTCTAATCCTACACTGTCAATCTTCAAAAACACATCTTCCTTCCATATCACCTCTCTACTAATATCCTCCATGCCAATAACATTCCTAGAAGACATCTCATCCCGTTCAGTTGATAAGATCAACCTCCCTCCGTGGTTCCTCTCATTCCACCTTGCCCAAATCCATTTTGATACGATCAACCCTCCTAATATATAAGCCTGGAATCCAACAAAGTAACATTGTGAGAAAATACACATGAAGTATAACAAGACTAAGCATAAGCAACACTTGCATGAATTAATATCTTGTCTTGCTCAATATGGAATATCATCCCACTTGGTCACATTAATAGACAAATTACTAGATCTTTGGAAAGCTCATACCGTCATACACACCAATTACATATATACAATGCAAACCTCCAATGTAGTTCTTAATATAAAAAAATCATCAGCTTAGAACTGTCATATTTTGCAAAACGATCATCGAATTAAATGCGAATTCATTACTCTCACACCCCAAAAGACGTTAAAATAAAAATGCAATATTCCAAGTTACAACATACCTCAAGAATGAGAAATATGAAGATAATATAAGAAATTGAGGAAAATAAAAAGTAACTTTACAGGGAAGATATCAGAAACAGGGTAAAGAATTCATAAAACTGAAATGTGTAGACTCTAGTTAGAGAGGGAGAAAGGAGAAGCATTCATGTAATCATTTGCATGGACTTCTTTCAAACTTCACCATCAAGCTGTCCACTTAATAAAAGTGAAAATCAGAGGGAAAGGTCTTTATCTGACACATGCTGGCATCTTTCAGTATATCCATAAATACACTCCTTTCCTCTTCCAGCACCAATGTCAACGTATGTTCAAATAACATGACACATCACATAAGTTATTGGTGACTATGCTAGAAATGGAAGCTACCAAAATGTGTAAATACTGGATAGGGATCAATAACTCTCTCTCTCTCTCTCTCTCTTTTATGTAGAATAGCAATAACAAGATTAGCAGTTAGCACTTATTAGTATCTTGTGGAAACTACCAATCGGGTTGGAATGGATAACTCTTTAATCTAACCTTCTTATATGTTGACTGTCTGTCGTTAACCACAAGTTTCAAAAAATATTCTCTGAATCATAATTTCAGCACCAGTGAAAACTATCAGGTTCTGTGCTTATAATGACATTATGATCGGTGCTTGTAAAAAATATTCATTCTTGGTATGTTAGCTATTTCATATACATGCTCGTAATGAAGGTTGTAGAAACACAAGACAAAAAGATTAAAAAAGAAATAATTGGACCCTCAAAACTCGAGAAGCATCATACAAGTAGGATTCCAATTTCCAACCCATCCAAGGCAAGAAGAATGATCAAATTAGATTTTAATCATTGATTTGACCGTTTGATGTTTTCATAAACAAAAGATAACATCGATGGAATATGAATGCAATATTTGATTCAAGAAATGACAACCAAAAGTGTAACCATTAAAGGTTCAAATTATATATAAAAAAGAACAAGAATATACCTGGGAGATTATAGTAGGATTGGATGTGATGGTGGAGAAAGAGAGATCAACGTTTGGCTCAGCCTGCACCTGCAGAGGTGGCACTACAACTTCGGTTTTGGGAAGGCGTACGATGTTGGGCTTGGGATGAAGCATAGTGAAATTCCTTGAAGGTTGAGGTTTGAGTGGGTGTTGAAAATAAAAGAGATTGCGTGTGTGTTCTTTCATTTCACTCTTCTTGCTCATTGTGTTTCTGGTGTTGTTTAAACGTAAGCAATAGCAATGTAATCAGAAGCTGCATCAAATTCAAACACTAACATATATATAGTATACGAGGTTCCTTCCATTTGGATTTTGGAACAGTGTACGTTGTTAGTAACGGCTAGTTTTAATGTCTCAAAAATCTTTTATTTTTATTTCTCCATAATTTTAAATATGTTTTTAATTCTTAAAAAATTGAGTATGCACCAAAAATTCATCAAAAATGAGTTACTTTTATTTTATAATATTTTATTTTTAATACAGGATAATCTACAAATAATTGTTTTTTCATAACTATTTTTTCTACAACTTTTTTAACTATTCAATATTCTAATTTAATTTTTCTCTGCCAATAAATTTTATAAGAAAATTGTATTCTTTTTCAAATATGAACATTACTTGTAAAATAATATTCGCCCTAATGTATATATTTTTTTTGACAGACCATAATGTAGATGTTACTGCCACCAAAACTAATTTTTTCAAAATTAAATAAATTATGTACTAAAATTTATTAAATGGACTAGTTATTTTATCTATTAGAAAATATTAGAATTACTTGCATACAAACTTTTGAAAAATAATTTTTGAACTTAAAATTTATAGTTATAAAATCAGACTTGATGGGTTATAGTATGCTTAGACATCAAAAAAAAATTTACCTTAAAGTCCTAATACCTCACAGTTCTGTCTTGATAAATTATTAAAGAATTGATTAATGGGTCAGAAAATCCACACTGTTGAAAGAATTGCTTGATTTGAGATGACCAATAGAACTGCAATGAAACTTAGCACTGGTGTTTGTATGTATTGCTATAATTTTTACATATCTGAAAATAAATGATATGTTTTGGCATCAAGTACTATTTGTCTAATTGATGCTATTCCTCCAATTACAACTAAAATTGAGGATGCTACAATAATCAATGTGTTGACCCAAAACATTATGCTGTATTTTGAGGGCTTGAAAGTCACATTGTAAAAAATCATAGGCAAAATGAAATCAAGAGGGATGCATCCAAATGCCCCAAACAAGGCCATTATATCTGGAAAGAATGGCAACATTGCTGCTAAAACCGTGGCTGCTGCCACTGATAGTGACCTAGACAGCACCCTTGGAACAACATTGCGAATGGAGAATTGTCCCATTTTTGGGTCTCCAAAAGTTGCTTCAAATAATTCATTTGTTGGCTGCAGATAAACCTGAAACACAATAACCATTCTATGGTTATTCATCATGAAAAGGAAATGTTGTCAATGCAAAATTGACAAAAAGTATTCCAAGAAGCTGTTCTTACCGCTGTCATTGCCATCACTTGTAGAAGGATGAATATATTGGTCATCAAGAAAAACCATTTGGGAAGCAAAAGCTTAGTCTTGCCAATAAAGTTAGCAAGAATTGTTGCACCGGAATCATTACCAAATGCCCAATAACCTGAGATGGCAACACTATAATAGGTGGTGGCTATAACAGAGTAACAGACACATAGTCCTTTCAACATTTTTCCCTTCACAGGAGGGGCCAAAGTTGCCTGTAAATTGCCGAACAATTCTACTTAGTGACTTGACATGATGTCTAATTGATGCTTATTTTGTTAGAACTAAATATAAGTATATTTCCATATTTAAATTTTCTTGGTTGCATATCTAATATTTGTTTCTTAGAAAAATGAAGGATAAAACCTAGATGCAGTTCTATGTTTGTTCTTCAATTAGAATTTGAATTTTATCTCAGTAATCCATGTAATAAATATTTTCATTAAATGTCAATGTGGATTACCATGATGAAACTTCAATTCTGATAAGAAACAACACTAAAATCACCTACAGAACTGCATCTAAATTTTGTCCATAAATGAATAATACCAAGATGCTCATTGCTCAACTAACCTGTATTTCTGGAATGATTCCACTAGCATATGCAGTAGCAATGATAGAAATACCATTGAAGACACCAAAAAGTTGATCTACATCAGAACCTCTTACAGAATAATGCCTAGGTGGTGCATCTTTTGAGTGACCTGTGGTAGATACAAGCAAGACATCAAGTTGAGTACAGGTTTCTGCTTAGGCTGCCAATGCCATTGTGTTTTCCTTTCCTTACCAATGTATATAGAACCGACTGCGACACATGTGGCATACAGCACACTAAGAACCAGAGAAATCAGATTAACATGCCTCAGGGAGTGAAAGGATGGAAGTTGAGCCAAAAGCAGTGTTACCACACCAGATATACTGATAAATTGATAAAGCTTCATTGCTCCATCTGGGTGGTAGAGCTGGTAAATGAACTGCAAAGAAGAACAAAATGTAGCTTCTCAATAAAACACAGAAACATGTAGATGAGAAATTTCATGAACTAATGTAAATGACACTAGTAATTAATTACCTTGAGGCTCTTTCCTCCCACTAGAGGACCACCAATCACTGTGCCAAAGCATATGGCAAATTGAAGCGGCCCTACATAGTATTTAGCCCATCCAGGTCCTGCCACAACATTTGCATTTCAATTATACCATTAACTATGAATGCCTCTAACCCATTTCAGGCACAAACATCCTCCAGGTAATCGAATGAAAACATTGAAAAATCTGACAGTAGTTCAATTCCAACTAAAGTAGTGGATAACACTGGCAGTTAAAAAAGTTTCTGTAGATGACTGGTAGCTATTGTTTATATGCTACAGACTACAGAGTTTGTCTCTAATTTTTCTAAAGAAATACTAACAATACACTCTTAAATATAATCTTTGGGATACATTTTTTATAATTGACCGAAATTTATCAGAAATTACAAAATTTTCTAAGTCTCACACTCACCTGTCACAGAGAGTGTTGCTTGTGCTCCTCAATTTTACAAACACAAAACAAGGAGGCCAAAGCAATTACACCAATTCTGGAAAAGCTACAGTTTCAACTCTTAAAACTTAGTACCATTTTTGGATTGAAAATGAAAGAAAGCTTCGGATAAAAATTTGGACAATGAAAATACAAAATGATTTTTTTTTAGTCCATGGACAGATTTACACTGTTCAAAGCTAACAATTAAGGAGTAATCTGTGCTTGCAAAATATGAATTCCATTGAGCAAACGTTATTTTATCAGTGACTGAAATGGATCCTGGAAGTACAGGTTGACCCCCCTTTGATGCCCCCCCTCCCCCGAAAAGCAGTATAATTCTGTGAAAAATGGGGTGTTTTAATTCAAGGAAGGAAGCAAAAGAGGGTGAAAAATCACCTAAAATATCTCTAGCCATATCCCTGAATCGAAGCTGGCGACGGCCAAGCTGTGCATGATGCTCCAAGACCACAGATAAAAGGTTATATGAATAGAATGTGACAACAGCCGCAAGAGTCAACCAAAGCACTCCTCCAACCCAACCCAACAAAGTGAAGGCGAAAGGAAGAGTAAGAAGCACCGGAGCCACAATAGATGTAGTCAAATGATACCCACAGTGCAACCATGATCCTGCACACAACACAACAATTCATCAACACCCTTTTCTCATCAAGAATCAAAGCTGGTTCTTGTTTTTGCTTTGGTTCGTAGAAGGAAAATCAGGCTCACCTCGAGACACAAGAACAAACTTTGCCCCTGCATCTAGCTCTGGCGGAGTAGAGTGGTTGATCGCAAACCCCTTTTCACTGTCACTTGTATACACTTCTGAGGAGCTGCGAGTAACAGTTCCCATCTTTGATGCCACTTCCTTTGTTCTTTCTTTCTTCTCTGCTGTTTCTTATTTTTTTTCTTTTTCTGCAGCTATTTTTCTAATTTCATATATGTACCTTGAGCTAATAATAATGATAAGAATAACATATGATCTGACACAGAGATATATAAATAAGAAGGAACGCAAGTTGACATGAAGCTTGAAAAAGACTGAAATTAGTTTAGGGGAAGAAACATGATTGATTGAGTGAGGGTGGTCAAAGAAGCATAGCCACAGTGCGTTGGAAACTAATAATTTTGAATGGTATATGCGACAGTGACATGTACATAAACATGTGTAACAACTTGGTTCATAATTAGTTTATTAGGAGTTCTTAGAGTTTTATACCAATGTGGGGTAATAAAGCAAGCACCAAGGTGGCTCATCCAACATGAATATTGAAGTCAATTTAATCAGCTGTATTATATTATTATGATATTCCACATTCTATGTATATTTTGCAAGAAAAGTTGACCAGATCCAGCCTGTCCCCATACAAACATTTCACACATGCCACAACTCATTATCTCACTTTGCCTACGTGGTTTTAGTTAAAGTGAGAGCAATCGTGGTTAAATATGAAGGCAACAATTTTAAGTGGTTATATTATTTATTAATAATTCATGATTTTAATTTAATTTGTTTACTTAGGACTCCTTTCTTTAATTTTTAAAAACAATATATTAAAAAAATTAACTTATTGTTTTAAACTTTTGAAAAACCAACTAGTTTTTTTTTTAATTATATTTTTAGTTTCTATAGTTTTATAAACTTTACTTCTTAGTTCTTATAGTTAAAATATTTCTATTTTCATTTTTATAAATATTATTTTTATCCTTTTAGTCTTGTCGTCTATTTAGATGAAAACTATAAAATAAAGGTTATACATCAGTAAGAACTTAAAAAGATTAAAAAAAATTATATGCATAAATATTAAAATGAAATAATTTTAATTATAGAAATTAAAAAGTAAAATTTATTAAACTATAGAGACAAAAAAATAACTAAAGTATATTTTTGTATATTTTTCTAAATAACATAATAATTGTTATTAATTTATAACAGATTTTATTTTATTGTTTTGTAAAAAAAAAAAAAACAGCTTTTGTTTTTTTCTTCTTTGGAAAACACAGACAAACAAGCCTTAACGGTATTATAGTATTTTATGTACGTAATCATGCTGCATCTAGTCAAAACAAACCATTCAAATAGATTAGAACATCTAAACCAAAAGAAGGATATCCTTCTAGATTGATTTTGAAAATTTTAACAAAATTTAGATTGGATTTTGTAAAATAACCCGCAACACATATTCACTTTTGAGTCTAAAGTAAACTCTTTTAAGATTTTTTCTTTTTTTGCTTTTTACTTTAAGGGGCCTTTACTGTGCAAAAATCTTTTTCATTCTTAAAAATTATGTTTCTTGAAAACTATATGTTTAGAAAATGTATTTATTAGGAATATCATAAATACGTTTAGTATGTCTAAAATATTTCTGGGAAAAAAAGACATACTTATAAGAAAATTTTCCCTATGGACATTTTGGATTTCCAGCCTCATTCCATGGCGAAATTTTTAGTAAGAAACTTAATTAAAAAACAATTTTTGAGAAAGATTTTCATAGCTTTCTTTTTTGTTTTCTCCTATATATGTTGTGTTACCTTTTTTGGTAGGAAAAATTAAAAAACTAAAAAATAGAGTATGTTTTCAATTTTTGTTATGTTTTTATAGTTGATATTTAAAACTCAATAGTTAAAATATGTGATCTAATTCAATTTTTCTCGTATTTTATATCTTTTCATACAGACTTGTATTGTATATAAAGTTGATGATTCGTAATTTTATTGAAAAATTTCATAAAGGTTAATGGTTAGTTTTGTAATTATATGTGATGATACCTTGTCTTAATCTAAACTTTTTTTTTAACCAAGAGACTACCACTAATTTAGTTAAAACAATTACACAACATTTGATCTATGTGAACAATAGTAATTTTTGCTAAATTACATTTTTAATCTCTTTATTTTCATTCACTCACAATTTTAGTCTTCTATTTTAAAATAGAAAGATTTAGTCTCCTAATTTTAAAAATATGAAATTTTAGTTCTCTTGTCAAATAGACACATGTTAATTGTTAATTTTAACATTTACTAGTTCTTAAATGATATAAGATTTAGTGACAAGATATTTAGAAAAATAAAAATTAATTAATTAATAAAATAAGTATTCACCACTTATTAAAATAAATAGAAACGAAAATCTTTGTAAGTTATTATTTTAATTTTTATACTTATATACTACGTTATTATTAAATATCATATCACTTAAGTGATGATATATCATTAAAGAAAGTTAAAATTTAATTATTAACAAACATCAAAATTTTGTTTTTTTTTAAATAAAGGGATTAATTGTCTCTAATTTAAAATAGGAAAACCAAAATTTCAGATTGACAAAAATAGAGAGACCAAAAATATAATTTAATTTATTTTTCTAATTGGAATACAATTTTTTAACACTCATAGAAAAATGTCATTTTCTTACGAATTTTCCTATAAAAAAATATTCGCAGAAATTTTTTTGCGAATTTTCTTGCAATAATAATTTCGCAAAATTTTTTTACGAATTTATTTGCGAAAAATAATTTACATATATTTCTTACAAATTTTTTTACAAAAAATAATTTCTATGAAATTTTTGCAAATTTTGCTACAATTTTAATGATCATAGAAATTTTTTTCCATGGTAAAAATTTGCAAAAAATATTGTAAGAATTTTATTTTGTTTCTTGCAAATTTTCTTGCAAAAATAAATTCGCAAGTAATGTTTACTGAATGGTAGAAAAATTTTGCAAGTAACTTTTCCTGCGAATTTTCATGCAAATTTTAATCCGCAAGAAAAATAAAAAAATATTTAAATTTATAAGTTTAATATTTTAAAAAAACTTCAAGTCCCACATCGATTGAAAATAAAAAAATTAAAGAGTATATAAGTTGGGGCAACACTTATCTTACAAGTTGATTTGTATAGTTGAGTGTTAGGCTTATAATCTACAATCTTAGAATTTAAAAGATTATCTATCACATGTTGGAGGCATGAAAACAAATGTTTCGGATGAATTCATTGTGAGCATTTGAAAGTTGAAGAATTATTGATAGAATTTATAGTAATTTCTTTAATTTTTTCGTAAAAAATATTCTTGCAGAATTTCTTGCTAAAAAATTCACAGGAAACTTTAAAATTCGCAGGAAAATTTCTTGCGAATTTTAAAATTCGCAAAAATATATTATCCACGAAGGCATTACCTGCAGATAAAATTTCGCAGAAAAATTTATAGGAACAACGCTTTCTGCGAATTTTTCATAAAAATTCGTAGGAAAAGTCGCATGTAATAAGAGAAATTCTAGTAGTGTAAAGTAATTTAATTACAATTTTTTTTATAATAATTATTAAAAAAATCCTTATCAAGATAAAAATGATTTATTTTATAATTAATTAATATATTAGCATTTTATTTGTACAATACACATACGATCATATGTAATTAAAATTTTATAATAATTTATATATAAATAAATATGATATTTGAATATATAAATTATATTTGAGATAAGTATAAATAATTTATATTATAATATAAAATTATTTTATTTAAACGTGTAGAAAATAATAAAAATGACATTTTTTTATTTTTAATTTTGAAATTTTTTAAAAACAATTTTAAAGAAAATATTTTCTAAAATTAAAAGTAAATTGTACTTATTTTCTATTTTTTTTTCAAAAGTAAAAATAAAAAATAGTGAAACCAAAACGTACCATAGATTTTCCAATTTCTCCGTCATTTAGATAAAATTGGTCGGAAGTGGGAACTTCATTAATTTTCATGATCATGATTAGATATAGTTGTCAACTCAGTTTTGAAATTAAGAACAAAAAGCACTTTTCAGTTTTGTAATTTTTAAGTTTCAAATTTTTTCAGTTTTCATTTCTTAATACTAAAATTCTCAAATTCAAATTATATAAATAATTTTTTGCTTCTTATAACTCAAGCTTGTTTAATAATAAAGATGATAATATCTGTATAAATAAGGAGAAAAAAATTTAAATGATTATAACAATAATAATAAAGTTGTGAAATGTGACAACAGAAAGAATAATAATTATAATAGTTTAACCAACATCATCATGGTAATATTAGAATAGTTACAATTAGTAGCGGACCTTGATAGGAAGAGTCACGACTTCTTCAAATTTTTATAAATTATATATATATATATATTATATTTATATATTATCATATTATTAATTATAATAAAACTAAAAACATTAAGTAAAAAAAAATTCTATTATTTTTTTAACTAATAAAAAATTAATTTATAATTTTATATAAATAAAAAAATAATTCGACACTTTCAATTTTTTTTTTCAAGTTCCCGTCACTGGTTGCAATAAAAATAATAAACAAAATATTTTTTATTTATTATATTTTAAGCTAAATAATCTTTTAAAAGGTTAACTTTCACTTAATTCTTTTGTTCAATTAAATAAAGATTATTTTTACTCTCTTTCCTTTCTCTTCATTTGATTTTTAAACACCTGTCGCAATTTTTTTTTTCTCTGTCAAACACCATAACTGTAAGTTGGTACCCCTCCCCCAAAACAAAAGATGATGTATAATTCAACTAATACTATATATTATAAGCTTATACAAAGAAAACATTTCTTTTAATATCTACCAGAATACGTAATCATAAAAAAGATCACGAGAGTAATTTTATATCTCCATAATACTATTTTGATAATTTTAAAGAAGTTATATTATAATTATTTGTACTGGTAGAGTCGAAGAACTCTGTCTTTTTATACTTATTTAAATGTATTTAAAAATTATCAATATTGTTAAATTAATTGATGTTGTGCTCAATTCTCAAATTTCAAGGTCTTGAATTCGAGTATTTGGTTTATAAAAATAGTTAATTTTTAATATTTTTTTATTATTTAAAAGTTTAAGAGTAAAATAATTTATAAATTATGTACATGAAAATAGAGAATCACTTTTAAATATAGGTATAGATGATAAGAGAAACAAGGACATTAACAAAGGGTGACTATGAGAGTATTAAATGACAACTGTTTTTAATAATATATCGTGTTTTTGGAACAACTTGACAAATGATTACATTTAATATAATTCAGCTAGTATGCATCGAACAAGTAAAGCATACGCAACGCAACTAATATATGGTTCACATGCAACAATTATATAGATAATCATGTAATCTATACATGTATAGATAGAAGACATAAT